CGCGGGCGCGGAGCCCGGGCCGGCGCGCCTGCTGTCGGCGCTCTTGTACGGGACCTGCTCGTTCCTCGTCGTGCTGCTCAACAAGGCGCTGCTGACCACCCACGGGTGAGGCGGGGCCGGCGGGGCGCACTGAACGGCGGACGGCTCTCCGCACGGTGGGGTCAGGTCAGACCCGGCCGCCACGTCCGCTCGTACTGACCGACTCGCCGTTCATGTTCAGGCAGAAGCGGGGCGGGCAGCGAGGAGCTGGCAGGAAGGGCTTCTCTGGCTCAGGGTGAGGCCAGCCGGCCCCTGTGCTGCCTCGTCGTGCCTGCGTTCATGCTGCTGACGCTGTGACGGCACTGATGGACCGTGCGTCTACACCCAGCTGCACGTTTGTAGCTCTGCCCCTGGAGACAGGCCCACCGTCAGCGGTTTCCTCCGATGCTAACACCGGGTAATCACAACGCTGTTAATCAGCTCCCGCGGCTTTGCATGAGCTGTCACAGGTCAGGGCCCTCTGAAAACGACACTGTACCAGAAGGATGTAAAATCAGAGATTTAGGGCCCAAAGAGACCTGTAGGGCATCTTCAGCCTTCTTATTATATATTGCGGGAACTGAGACCCCGTGAGCTCAGGTGGTCGCACCTCGTCTGTGACGAGCCCGCTGCTGGCACCAGGCGCCCGCTCTGCAGATGGTCCCAGTGGTGGAGACAGGAAGTAAACAAGTAGGCAAGTTCTGAGCCCCAGGGGGGCAGCAGGCGTAGGGCCCTGAGGGGGGCGTGAACCTGACGCTGGAGCCACAGAGAGAGGCCGCTGTGGCTGGAACCCAGAGGCAAGAGCCAGAGGCTGGCAGAGACGACGGGAGTGGGCAGGGGAGGCAGAAAGCAGATCCTTCATTCATTCAATCACGTTTAGGAAGCACCTGTGATGTGCCAGGCACTGTTCCAGGTACTTGGGAAACAAGTGAGCAGAAAGATGAGAGTCCCTGACTTCATGGAGCTTACATGTGTGTAGATCAGCAAATGAACCAGTAACATTTACATTAGGTCAGGTGCGGCTCAGCGTCTGGAGAAAAAAAATAAGGCAGGAAAGGGACTTAGGGAGTGTGGGAGTGGGAAAGGGCTTGCGGCTTCAGACCTGAGGTAGGTGAGGGAGCGAGCCCTGGTGGGAGACGGACAAGCACTCCAGGAAGGGACGAGTGGAGTCTGGGTGGGAGTGGTCCTGGACGGGGTCTGAGAGTAACCGATGGCTGGACTGTACAGGGCCTTGGAGGCCACTGCTAGGGCCCTGGTGTGGGCTCTGATGAGATGAGCCGGGGCAGGTGTCCAGCAGAGGGGTGACACGACTCAACCACGCAACTGCTGTGCTGAGGGCAGATACGAGGAAACCGTGATAAATAGTTTTAATTTCAGTCTAAGTGGAATTGGAAGTCCCTTGGAAGGTTTTAGCGTGGGAGTGATAGGGCATAATTTGTGGGATTAAATGATTTCCTTGTCTGGTGGGTGGTGGAGGTCTGATGGTGCTGGCAGCAGGGAGGCATGGCTGGCTGGGGCGGGGCTGCAGATGTGGAGGGAACGGATGGATTTGGGATATTTTTGGCTGGTCCTACAGCTACCGACATCCTTTACAAGGTTTCTACCAGTGTGTGACAGCGTGCTTGCTGGTGTCCATAGGAAACACAAAGCCTGCCTCAGAGAAATTGGAATGAACAAATACCTAAACCTGGCTCATTTAACACATGTAGTGCAAGCAAGTGAAAGAAAAAGAAAACAAACACCTACGATAAAAATAAGAGAACGCTGTTAATGGGTTTGTTTGGGAGCAGCCAGTAGCTATGTCAAAGGACGGCTGAAGTCAAGTCTCCACTTTCTGTACTCGAGTGAGTGGTTTGCTGACTGTCAGTGTGTCCAAAACAGGTGTCCTCTTCTTAGAGCAGGGACCAGTGAACACTTGTCACTGCTTTGAAGAGGAAGGGCAGTGTCCAACTAGGAAGAATTATGATACAAGACACCTCATGCTCTATCTAGCCTTTCCATCTTTAAAATTTTGAGTTCCATGATTGGAGGAAGAAATGGAGTTTTTGCCTCAGGAAGGCAAAAAATCCTTATAACCCTTATAAGTAAACATTTCACATTTCTGTAATGTAACATTGTTCATTCCTCTCAAAATGCCCTAGGCATGCATATTTGAGAGGAGGAGTGTTGGGGTGATTTGGTTACAACAATAAGCCATAGAAGTCTGATTTGAGCATTAGCTGTTTGAGGACAGAATGCTGTATTGTAGGATAGAAGGAAGGACTTTTGGAAGTTACGTAATTCACAGGATCATGAATGTAGCTCAGGGGATGTTTTTTCTCTTCCATTCTGGGCAGGTTGTTTCTGGTTGGGGTACAAAATTGATGCATGGTCTTAGTTATTTGCTAGTTTTAGTTCATTAGAGTGCTAGATTTACCTGGTTGGACAGAGAGGCCTTTGAAAGACGTGAACTGTGGGACCCTGTGGGAGCAAGAGGGAAGTCAAGATCATCTAAGAATTTATGGCCAGTTGGTTACACTTGGGGTCCTTTGAGATCAGATTCATGAGAGCTGTGCACGTGGTCTGGAGGTTTTTTTCCCCCATTTTAATATTCCATGACATGAAACAATTTACTAATGGTGTGTAATTAAAATATTGAGCAGAGTTGTATTCAGTTTAACAAATATTTTCTCAGTATTTGCCATGTGTTTATTGTGCATTGCAGGGCTTTGGGATCATTGGACAAACAGTTTCCAAACGTCTCGTAATCTGAATCTCTTGGAGACTTTTGTTAAAATTTAAATATTATTATTATTATTGATTATATGTATTCACAGGGCAAAAGGACTGTAAGCACCCGTACCCAAGATGTGGTGAGCAAATCAATGCTATTGGCATGCCCACCACCTCAAATTGCAGTTATTCCCCATGTCTCCCACTCGACTTCTCCCCAGTTCCCCTCTTCCTCCTCCCCCTGCCCCAGCAACCCTAAGTCTGCTCTCTCCCTCTGCAAGTTCAACACACTACTGTGGTCTTTCTTTCCTTCCTTCTTTCTCTCTTAGCTCCCACTTATGAGTGAGGACATGTGGTATTTTCCCCTGTGTGCCAGGCCTATTTCAATTAACATAATTTTCTCCAACTCATCCCTGTTGCTGCAAGTGGCAGAATTTCTTTATTTTTTATGGCTAAGTAGTATTCTGTTGTGTATATATACCACATTTTCCTTATTCAGTCATCTGTCAACGGACATTTTGGTTGGTTCTATATCTTGGCTATTGAAAACAGCTGCGATGAACATGGGAGTGCATGGATGGCTTGAACATGATGATTTCCATTCTTATACACAGAAATGAGATTGCTGGATCATATGGAAGATCTATCTGTAGTTGTTTGAGAAACCTCCATACTGTTTTCCATAGTGGCTGTACTAATTTACAGTCCTATCAAAAGTGTGGAAGAGTTCCCCTTTCTCCACATCCTTGCCAGCATTTGTTATTCTCAGTCTTTTTGATAACAGCCAATCTGACTTGGGTGAGATGATATCTCAGAGTGGTTTTGATTTGCATTTCCCTGATGATTAGTGATGTCGAGCATTTTTTCAAGTACCTGTTAGCCATTTGTATGTCTTTCTTCGAAAAATGTCTGTTCAGCTCCTTTGCCCATTTTTTAATTGGGTTATTATTATTATTATTTTTTTACTGTGTAGTTGTTTGAGTTCCTCGTATGTTATGGAAATTAATCCCTTGTCAGATGTATCATTTGCAAATATTTTTTTCCATTCTGTAGGTTGTCTTTTCACTCTATTGATTGTTTCCTTTGCTGTGCAGAAAGAGACAAGGATGGTTCAACATACACAAGTCAATAAATGTGATACAGCACATCAACAAAATCAAGGACAAAAACCATATGATTATCTCAATAGCCACAGAAAAAGCATTTGACAAAATTCAACATCCCTTCATAATAAAGGCTCTCAGCAAATTAGGTATAGAAGGAAAGCATCTCAACACAATAACAGCCATATATGACAAACCCATCACCATCATTCTGAGTGAGGAAAGCTAAAGGAACAAGACAAGAATGCCCACTATCAGCATTCCTGTTTAACATAGTGTTAGAAGTGCTAGCAAGAGCCATCAAGCAAGAGAAAGAAAGGGCATCCAACTGGAAAAGAAGTCAAACTGTCCCTGTTTGGAGACAATATGATCATATATATAGAAAAACCTAAAGACTCTACCAAAAAACTCTTAGAGCTAATTAACAATTTCAGTAATGTTGCAGGATACAAAATCAACACACAAAGATCAGTAGCATTTATATTCTCCAGTAACAAAGTAGCAGAAAAAGAAATTGAGAAAGTAAGCCCATTTACAATAGTCACCAAAAAAATAAAATACCTAGGAATCAATTTAACAAAGGAGGTGAAAGATCTCTACAATGAGAACTACAAATCACTACTGAAAGAAATTGAAGAAGACACAAAAAGATGGAAAGACATTCCATGCTCTTGGATTGGAAGAATCAACATTGTGAGAATGTCCATGCTACCCAAAGCTATTTGCAGATTTAGTGCAATCCCCATCCAAATACCAATGACATTGTTCACAGGAATAGAAAAAAAAGAATCCTAACATTCATATGGAACAACAAAAGACCCCAAATAGCCAAAGCAATTCTGAGAGGAAAAAAAAAAGCCAGAGGCATAACGCTAACTGACTTCAAATTATAGTACAAAGCTATAATAACCAAAACAGCCTGGTACTGGCATTAAAAATAGACACTCAGACCAATGAAACAGAATAGAGACCCCAGAAATCAACACACTGATTTATAGCTAACTGATCTTTGACAAAGGCATCAAGAACATACATTGGGGAAAAGATTGCCTCTTCAATAAGTGGTGCTGGGAAAATTGGACATTCACATGTAGAAGAATGAAACTGGAAATGTACCTCTCACCATATACCAAAAACCACTCAAAATGGATTAAAGACTTAAATATAAAACCCAAAACTATAAAACTACTAAAGGAAAACATAGGGAAAATAATTTAGGAGATAGGATTGGGCAAACACTTTATGAACAAGAACTCAAAAGCACAAATAAAAAACCCAAAGAAAAAATAAGTAAATGGGATTATATCAAACTGAAAAGCTTCTGCACAGCAAAGGAAATTTTTTTATATTTTTTTTTATAAAAGCTACTGAATTGGAGCCCCTGGTGGTGGGAATTGGAAGTCTATATTAAAAAATAAAAGCAATTCCCAATTTTCTCTTACTTTAAGAGAAAAATTAAAGAGCCTCCTGGCTCTCTCCCGAGAGCAATGCTCGCTGAGCCCCTTGGATGGAGCTGGCTCTTTCTCCCCACTCCAGGCCTGGGCCAGGAGGTGGGGCCGGTCGTCTTCGCTCCCCACTGCTCATGCTCTGTGGAGACTCTGAG